CATCCATCGAAACGGCATCTCAGATCTCACCCTGTGCCCTCCACGCAAAGAACATGCTCGGTACAGGCGGATTTGGGACGAAACGCAGGAAAGACTGAACGAAATACGCAAAAGGATCAAAAAGTAGTAGAAAAATCATCCCCATATCATTTTTGACAATGTTTAACGATTCCTCCTGAGGAGGGCCACGCCTGGCTTCACGCCAAGACGAGGCTGCAGAACCGAAGCCAGCGGACAGCGTCAGCTCCCGGCAGGCCGTGCGGCCCAGCCAGACAAGAGGGGAGAGACCCAGACCCCCTCTCCTCCCCCCCCTCCTGGGCGAAGCACGTGTCCGAATGGGCAAATGGTCGGCTACACGCAAGAGTGACCCTGGGTAAGAGTGACCTTTGGTGCGCGGCTTTTCAGGCGCCGCGGGGGGACCAAACCTGGGCGCGCAAGCCGCTGCTCCTGCCTCGTTTTCTGACTACCTACCAGACCACCCCAACCCAACCCGAAGACCCCAATTTCGGGTTGGGGGGGGTACGGGTTCCATATGTGTTTTTTTCAGTGTTCCCCGACCCCCCCCAACTGGAAATGGATGGCAAATTGAGGCCTTCAGGTTGGGTTGGGGTGGTCTGGTGGGTGGTGATTTTCAGCCACCTGGGGACCCATCTGTGCCCGCACCACAGGTCACTCCGGCGAAAGGTCACTCTTACGTCTAGTCCAAATGGGCAGGCGAGAGGTGGACAAAACTGGCACCGGGGTTGGAGGCTGGCCTCCAGGGGGGGTCGAGGGGGCCAGGGCTCATTCGGGCAACTCCTCCCACAGGCGGGCTCTCGAAAGTGAAGAGGGATCCCAAAGTCATCAAACATGGTCAACAGAGCCCGAAACATCGTCACCACATTATGGTTTCCTGTTCTTGGGCAGTACTCCTCCTGTAGGTAGAGGGAGATGCCCGACGTTCAGGGTGCTGTGTTCAGGAGAAGCCAAGCCGCCGGAGGTCCATGCACCGGGCGGCCTGGAACCCAGTGCTGCGCCGGTCAGCCGTCCTGTACGCGGGGGCTGCAGCAAGCATGTACTCCGAGTTTCTTGATAAGCGTCGGGGGGCCGTCACCCCCGCCGACAGCCCCACATCGACCCCTGTCGCGCGCAGCCACCGCGCGCCGAAGGCGCTTCGACCCCCGTCGCAGCGCGACGGTGAGGCGAGGTTGACCCCTGTCGGGGGGGGGCCTCCTACGCTTATTTAGAAACCCAGAGTACCCAAGAGCGCCCCACATATTGAATCATCAATGCAATAACAGCTCGACCACAAGGAACCTTCCGCAAGAAATCCAACCCTGAGACCCCATGACGTCCCTTGCCTTTTGGTGTGGGAAAATCCGCCGACCCTGTCGGCGTGTGGAATGGGCTGTTCGTCGTGGTTGTTGCCTCCCTCGCTGCTCCCGCCCCGGTGCTGTTCGCCATGGTTGTTGTCCCCCTCGCTGCTTCCCTCCCCGTTGTCGTCGCCGTCGTCTTACGGCCGTCGCCGTCTCCCACCTCAAACCGTCGCCGTCTCCCGCCTCAAATTGAGCAACGTCGTAATTGAGTCGAAGGGAAGCCCCTTCCCTTTGATCCCTTCCCCGACGGGGGAGGGGGGGTCCCCGGGGGGGGAGGGGGTGGAAGGGGTGGCGTGGGGGTCCCGGGTCAGTATACCATCTCCCTCGGGGGGTCCCGAGACCGACGCAAGCCTCCAGAGGAGCCAGGAGTGGCTTGAGGGCCCTCAACATGGTCCAAGAGGGCCCCGAATCGCCGAACGATCGGTTCGAGACGTCACCACACGCCCCACGAGCTTCCAAGACTATTCCAAAGAGTTTCCCCGAAAAGGGGAACTCATGAGTTCCCCTTTATAAAAAAATCAATGAGTTTCCCCGAAAAGGGGAAACTCATTGATTTTTGTTATAATTGTTGAAGGATTTTGGCGTTCTCGCCTTTTCGGCTTCCCGACGCTGGGAGACAGCCCAAGGGGCCTCCAAGAGAGCCCAAAAAATACCCAAGAGGGCCCCAAGACAGCCCAAGAGGCAGCGAAGGTGGCCGAAGAGGCCACCAAGACGGCTCCAAGAAGGTTCCCCGACGGGGGACCCTAACGAACATGTCGAGCCCTCGGCCCCGAGAGGCTCCCAAGAGGCCCCAAGACCTCCCCAAGAGGCCCCCAAGAGGCCCCGACGAGGCTCCCAAGAGGCTCCGACGAGGCTCCCAAGAGGCTCCCAATACGCCCCCAAACTGCCCCCCAGAAGACCCCGAGAGAGCTACTACTACCACTAATACTGCGACTGGTCTTACTACTACTACTACTACTACTACTACTACTACTACTACTACTACTACTACTACTACTGACTACTACTACTACTGACTACTACTACTACTACTACTACTACTACTACTACTACTACTACTACTACTATACTACTACTACTACTACTACTACTACTAGTAATACTACTAATACTACTACGACTGCTACTACTGCTACTGCTACTAC